TAAATACATTTATACACGTTTACTTTTTTTTGCACACTGGCAAGGAATAAGAAACCCCAATAATGTGTATTGAATTTATATACTTTTCGCAATCTGTTCATAACTTAAAAATGTTTTTTTACAATGCTGAACATATTTTGAAGTAATCCATACAACTAAAACTATTAGATTAACAATCGTTTTCAAATTAACATTTAAGATTTGATGTTATTGGTTTTAGCTTAGATTTTAGCTGAAATAAATATAAACGTTTAGGATACACTAGAATCTTTATGGTTATAATTATAATTGAATGACCTCGGATGTAGGCCTACGTTACAAAAATGGTAAAATAATGTAAATAGCGTTATAAAACATTGGGATGTAATGATAGCAAACTCCATTAGACACGCTGGGAGTCTTTTAAGATGTAAGATAAATTTAATAATGTTTCGTACAGGTAAAACTTTGTAAAATTTTCAAGTTCAACTGAAATTGGTTAACCCCAACCCTTCCACTATCCTCACGATGTCCTAAGCTCGAATGTCTGATCATAATTCAATGAAACAGTGTTAAGCGGTATATCTACAAACAATACCATTACAAAGTGTCTTATTACCTGTTAGTTTACTTAAGATCTTTAAGATTATAATAAAGTTTACTGAAGATGCATAATATACTAATTAGTTGTTAGTAAATTCCTGAAAATGCCATCCATTTTAAATTCACTCTCAACGGTGAAAAATGAACATGCAAGTAATAATAAAAGCGTCTGGTTTCAATTAGTATTTCAATATTTAATCAATTAAACAGCAAAGTGTTCTACTAGTATTACGAATCCTCAAAAGGTTAAAAGAATATAACTGGATTAAATCTCCTAGATGTAAGACTACCTTTTTACATTGTGTTTTCCTTTACAATGTAAACACTATTTGTATGCAACTAATGGCTGGCTATCTCAGGGTCTCAAGAGGAAGGGTTTTACCTAACACCATTGGCTGTTCTGCTCACGGAAAAATACATTCTTGTAGTTCCGGTAGACAACGTATAAGCAATACGACAAAATTTCTTCCATAAAAATAAATAATATATACCTTATTCAGTTAATTGTTTTAATACAATGGTAGTAATATTTAGCTGATATACATGTGAAATCCTAGATAGATCCTAGAGTGTAGATCCTATGTGAGGCCTAGAGTGAATTTTGACCAATGTCTTTTTTTATACATTGTACTTTGGTCACAAAGATCTTAACCCAAACATCTTAATATACTACTTTATATACCTGAAAACCGAACATAATTTTTAAATATACTACTAGGCAATTGATCTGGTATGAACTAATACTTTGTATTGAATGATATAAAACGCATTAACTGTATGTTTATTTCAAAGCCTAATTTGATAATAAATTAAATTATTGCGTATTCTGTTAACTTTTTATCAAAATACTGTTGCAAAACAGAAACAATTATTTCATTACACGTCACAGCCAGTTTTCATAAAACAAGAGGCACAACCCCATGGATTAGGGAAACAAATTGCATGTCATTTTCAGGTGAAGATTTTGACGCTACTGTAATAAAATACATCCAAAGCAATCGCATGTGCGCGACAATTTGTTTAGTTTTGTAATTATCCTCGTAAAATTGGAATTTGCTTAGTGTTTAAAGACAACTTAACCATCCAGAATTTTATGTTGTAATCCAATCAACACTCAACACGTTATGGTTTAAACTAATGTACATGGATTTGGGAGGAACACTTAACCACTATGTTAGTTTGGTCCTTTTTTGGTTATTAATACTATACTATGGCAGTATATTTGACGAAATGTATTTAATACATGATAGTGACGGTTATTGTATGTATATATTTCCTAGGACGCTAGGCACGAGCTTGAGATTGTTTTAAGACCTAGGGGCTGCGGCATTAACACTTAGATAAAATCCATTTGGTGATTTGACGGGATTTGAACCCGGAACCTCTTGGACCGAAGTCCCGCGCTCTAACCACTAGACCAGCTCACTCCCCAGCTCACTTTGTTTTTGTATATATTAGCAGTAAGTACTTTCAAACCCACGATATTATAAGAGCTTGATTGTTTAATTGATTTTCTTGGCATTCTTAAATATATTTAGCAAATACTTGGTTTGTTACACACCATACCTCTTTTGACAGGAACTTGTAACAAGTATTCGCTAAAATATTAGTAATCAAAAATAAAAATAGATTAAACGTTTTTCTTGCAGAATTATATCAAGGACCAGCCGAAGACTATTTTAAAATTATTTCCGTCACTTCTTTAAATCACTTCTTAAAATTTACCATTCTTGGAGTAGAGTAATAATTCTGTAGTAATAGGCTAATGGTGTCAAGTCAGACAGATTTATATGCATGCCTATGTTCCCAGTCTGTCTACGTTGTGTGTTTTGGCAGAGTTCTATAATGAGCTTGTCGTCTCATTGACTGGAGTACTAATGTGTTTTCAAGAGTTGCTCATTTAGATTGGACCTCATGCAAACTTTGTTACCTCAACACACAATAACAAGTCACCATATTTTCGCTAAACCTACCAAATTTGTTTCAAAAAACACTTGCCAAGTTCTTTAAAGTATATTTCAATGTTATGTCAATGCTCCGATGTTAATGCCCTAAGAGTTTTTGAAAGAAGAATATTAAGACGAATCTTTGGTGCCGTAAAAGAAGGGGAGCAATATAGAATAAGAAATAATAAGGAGCTGGATGATCTAATTCATGTAGAGGATGTTGTTAGAGTGATAAAATCAATGAGGCTGAGATGGTTAGGTCATGTAGTGAGAATGGGTAATGAAAGAATGCCTCTAAAATTACTGGATGGTCAAATCTACGGAACAAGAAAGAGACCAAGGAGAAGATGGCTGCAGGATGTTGAGGAGGATTTGAGAATTATGAGAAGTAGGAATTAGCAAGACATAGAGAAGATTGGAGACAAATTGTGATGGAGGCCAAGGCTCATCGTGGGCTGTAGCGCCAGAGGGTAAGGTAAGGTAAGGCATTTCAATGTTATAATGTCCTATCAATTTGAAACTAACTGTTCTTAGTGTTCCACATTAGGCTTATGGGTTGTTATGATGGTACACAAATTGCGATGTAAAAGTAAACAAACAATCATAGAATATGTTCATTAAAAAGACAGTACATTACACGACCTAAATACCGTCAGATGATTTTGCACCACTGATCGGAACAGCGTTTCGCAGATTTTCTCTATGTAATATGAATAAGATTTGAAACACATTTTTAAATAAACCTTTTAATTTAAGTCAGTGATTAATTCAGTGATTAAATCACTGACTTGATAGTTTGTTAGTAATTTACTAACAAACTATCAAGTCAGTGATTATCCAGAGCTATGGAATAAGCAGTTTGAAACACTTAGTTTTTCAGTGACTGGAAATAGTGAGTGGTTTACAAGTATGATTCGTGTTGGAAATGTTTGCGGGTGCAGATGTCAACTAAATATTTATGCAAATATAACACTTAATATCTATGTAAATCTATATAAATAAAATTAGAGTTTTGTCTGTACATTGCTCAGAATCATAAGCTTTTAGGTTATTTTTACGTTTTATACATTAAACAAACCGAAACAAGTCTCATCTAAATTTCTGTCTGTCTTTGTGTCTGTTACGGCCCAAGAGCCATTTTACGCGGCCTTCTCCTGAAAAACTAGAGTACCTATCAAGATCCAAATAATTTTAATGTATTCACTGAATTGGCGAGATTGTCTTTAGCCATTAAAATATGGCGTCACTACTTTTTATATAAAACGACGGACGTTTAAAAACCCGACTTCGTGTGATTTTTGTCAAGTTTTCTCCCAATGTCCAATGTTCATCTCTTAATCATCAATGAAATAACGAACAGCTGTTCAGATCAAGATTATTTTTTCTAGCTGTCACTGATATGTTTACATTAAAGGTTGTTTACAAATACCGCAAACATTTCCGATCACATTTTGAAAGCAAAATCCAAAACCAAGTGAGATTAAAAACTATTTTCCTTACATAAAGGATTTCATTAATCGCAAGTTCAATAATGTGTAAAATGAAATAGAGATTCTATGTGTATAAAATTGCTCTGAAGCTTTGATAACCGGGAAAAAGACCTTGAAACAGTGATGTATAGGGCTGGGAAACTTACGTTTATTAAATTGACGGCGTTTCAATGGCGGTTGTGTAAAGCGTAAAGTGAAAAATCATAACTGCAGTGGGTGATTGTAACAGAGGTTTACGGAAGATGCTAAACTCGCTTTTCCAATGTGTTACTTTCGGTTTCTACTGAAATACTTACTTACTTGAAATACTTGTCTTCTACATCGTTGACCGACATGTCGGATAGATTGCGTCATGTTACTATTTACATATAAACACTATAAAACCATTAAAAAATATCTACATATACTTTACTTCTACTTTTGTGGCGGACGTGTCACGTTAAAAAAAGGGGTTCACTCTCCAACTCATGCAAGGCGTACAATGGCCTATTCAGCAGTCCCTCACGTATCTCCCTCTTAAAGTCTGGCAGGTCCATGTCACGCACTCGTTTAGGCAAGGTGTTGAATACCCTAATTGCCGAACGCGGGTAACTCCTCATTGTCTGTGCAAGTCGGCACCGAGGCATGTCAAGGTCTGGGGCTCTGCGGGTATTGTGGGTGTGGACCTCCTCCCTCCTGCCAAAGAGTCCCACCTTGTCTTTGAGTAGTACAAGGATGTCGAGGATATACTGGCTGAATACAGTGAGCACCCTATGCCGGATGAATATAGGGCGGCAGTGCTGCTTGTAGCCAGCAGATGACACTATCCTCATGGCTTTCTTCTGGAGCAGTAGGATGTCATGGGCTGCTGTAGAATGGCCCCATAGGACAAGGCCGTACGACACATGGCTGTGGAAGAGGGCGTGATAGACCATCAGCAGAGAGGGTTGACTTAAAGTAGGACGAAGTCTTCTTAGTAGGTAAGTAACTCTAGATAGCCTAACACATACCTTGTCTATGTGATGCTTCCAATTTAACCTGGGGTCAAGCCAGAAGCCCAGGAGTTTTACAGCCTCATCTTCCACAACAGGTTTGAGGGTACACAGGATGGTCTGTGTCTTGTCCTCATTCACCTTGAGCCTATTGACGGCAAACCAGCTCTTCGCTTCTTCCAGTAGGACAGTAGCTTCTCCACGGAGATCCTCTAGGTCTTTCCCTCTAGAGAACAGAGTAGTATCATCAGCAAACAGTAGAGTACGGTTGTTAAGTGAGAGGTCATTGATCATGATAGTGAAGAGCACTGGCCCCAGCACCGAGCCCTGCGGCACGCCGTGAGGTATGCTGCCAACGCTGGAAGAGGCACCTCTCAGAGTAACATACTGCTTGCGGTCACTCAGGTATTCAGTCAGTGAGCCAAGGACTGCGCCACCCACCCCATACCTACTCAGTTTAGCAAGAAGGATTTTGTGGTTTACGACATCGAATGCCTTGCTCAAGTCGCACAAACTCAGCAGGATAGACTCACCCTCCTCAAAAGCACTGGAAATAACGTCAACAAGGCTTAAAAGTGCAGAAGTGGTCGAGTGTTTACCTCTGAATCCGTGTTGGGCTTCCGTCAGAATGGCATTACCTTCCAAGTAGGCTATGAGTTGTTTCTTCATAACGGTCTCTATCACCTTGGAGAAAGATGGGAGGATAGATATCGGTCTGAAGTTGGACAGGAGTGAAGGGTCCCCTTTATTGTAGATGGGTATCGTCCGGGCTATTTTTAAATTATCAGGAAACATACCCTTAGCTAGGCAAAGATTGATCAGATCTGTGAGGGGTGGTGCAATTAAGTCTATTACAGATTTTAAGATATTAGTTGACACTCCATTTACATCTTGACTTGCCGAGGCTTTGAATTTCTTAACGGTAGAGATAATTTCATTGACACTCACCTTCGTCCAGCAGTTAAAGTTGTGTGTTTGGGTGAGATCCTTAACCGAATCCAGGGGGTCTGTCTGCAACACGGGTATATTTGTGATGAGTTCATCTGCTACATTTAGAAAATATGTGTTGAAATCATCAGGGGTGGCCAGAACTTCAGGGCCAGGACAAGGAGACCTGCAATCATTCACAATGCCCCATGCAGCCTTGCAAGGGTTGGGAGCGTTGAGGATTTTATCTGCATTAAACTTCCTCTTTGCATCCCTGACCTTAACACCATAGTCACACTTAATTCTACAGTAAAGTAAGTAATATCTCTGCCTGATATTGTCATCTGTTGCGCCCTTAAAATGATCATGAACAAGTAGCATGAGCTGTCGTAGCCTACCCAGGTCAGGGGTGTACCAATCCTTTGAACCTTTGGTGCCTTTGTGGTTTTTACCGGGAGAACTAGACATTGGCTTGGGCCGACTAATTTTAGGTGGATATACAACGTTAAATTGATCACAAAAAGTCTCAGTAAAAGCTGCAAAAGCAAGTTTAGGGTCAGAAATTGCTTTCAGGAAGTTCCAGTTTATAGCAGATAATTCACTCCTAAGCAAGGGAAGCAGATCCATGTTTATTGTTCGCTTAACAACAGAGTATTTGTCTATCCATGAGGAGGAAGGGCTTACCTTAGTAGTCTTGACTGTGAGTACCACCGCACCGTCGTGGTCAGCAATATGAGGCCTTACCACCTCCGCCTCAATGTCCCAAGAGTTGTAATTGGTTGCTACAGCATCCAGACAAGCCTCCCCTCGTGTTGGAAGCCTCGTGGGAATGTAAAGTCCAAAGCTGCGAAGAAGATTCACAAAGGCAAACTCCTCGGGTGAGGGTTTCTCCAAGTGCACATTAAAATCCCCACAGATAACTATGCTGTTTTTGTCAGATTTAGATATGTGATCGAGGCACAGTTCAAGTTGGGAAAGGAAAACTTTAAAGTCACTGGCAGGAGATCTGTAGACTGACAACAATATTGTCTTAGTACTTAATATTTCTATAGCCGTGGCTTCAAAAACAAGTTCTTCACAAAAATCACTTAAGTCTATTGGTTTACAGTTAGGCCTGAAAATGTTAGATGCATAGATAGCAGTGCCACCGTTTTTATGAGTTTTACGGCAGTAGATATTTACAAGTGTTAGGTTATTCATAGTCCTATAAAAATCATGTTCACTGTCCTCTAACCAATGTTCAGCAATACACAAAAAATCGCAACTTACCTCATCAATAAAGACAGATATGAGGTCACATTTATTTCTAAGACATTGAACGTTGAGTGATACAATTTTCACTTCCGTTAGGCTTGTAACTGTTTTTTCAGGCACACTAAGTTTACTACCAAGCCTAAAATCACCAACGACAATGGATGGGTCTATGTTTGCAGTGTCTTGTATATGGTGCGGCCTAAAAAAGATCTATTTTGGCTTTTTTGGCTCCGGGATCCTTTACTTGGCAAGAATTCTCTCACCAACACACCAGCAGGCCAAAATTGCAGACCTGCTGTTTTGGGGACATACTGACCCCTATGTGCTACAATCGCTGGACCATACAGCCAATAGGCCAATAAGACTGTATCTTGGGTACATAGGCCTACCCAATTATTCATAACAACCTATTCGACGACGATCCTTGATACCGGTACTTTTCCCTAGAATACATGGCCTAGGTACCTACTTAGGAAATCAAATTAAAAACTTTAAAAAACACAACATTGTGTGATTTTGTTCACATTTCCTTCTACAGTAATATTAACTACATATACCAAATATCGTTTAGAGAATATGTCATATTCTAAATAACAAAAAGCTGTTTGGATGAGATTGTTTGGTTCAAACTGTCACCAAAGTTTTTATACATGTTTTGCCTTTTCTTTATATGTCATAATATTAGGTTTAGATATAATAGTTTTGCCAGCACGTCTGAAAATATGCAAACCAACTGTTGTTCTTTATATAATAAGGTTTCTACTGAATACTATAAGATCCCCGTGCGTAGAACGGGCACTCAGCTAGTGGGAACTAAATTGGGTACAATCAGCTGTTTAAATCACCACGACTTTGCCCGAGAACAACAATGCTGATGGAAACAGTTTTTTTATGTTTCATAGATGAACACAATGTTGGTACAATTACATCTAGAAATATGTCTAATATCCTGTCTCTATGGTAGAACAATAAAAGTAGGATCATGATAAACCCCTAATACTACCGTTTTTAATATTACCCCTTAAAGCCTAATATTAAGGCGTCATTCCGAAAGAGACTATTGTAATAGGGTTGATATATAAAAATCAAAACCCCCACCAGCAACCCCTATTTGGGAATCGTCAACGAAGTTCCAAATCATGTTAAAAAGTGCGTTACATCACCCTAGTCACGTGTACCGAAGGTTATTTGAAAATTTACAGACACGAAAAATTAAAAGTGGTTGAATGTAAAGTTCCAGTATATTCTATCCATGGTTCTACTTAAATAACGTCCAACATATCTTCCCATAACTTTTAAAATTCGTAGTATCAAAGTCGGGTTTGTGTCATTAATTTCCACTTTTAAACTTTTTTAATATGATGTGCTACTTGATAGGGGTGCTATTTAAACATTTTAACCCCCCAGAATCCCCTATTTGGTTGTGGGGGGGTTAAATTTCAAAATACCACCTAAAAGTACTATACATTACCCTGTAACGTGTATCGAAGCTTGTTTGAATATATACAGCCTTTCAAAAATAGACCAGGGGAAGGAGTATTATGGGACACCCGGTAAGAGATAGGCTTGCTGATTTTCGATAGGGAGTCATGCCCATTATAAGCAGTAAATGGACAGTAAAGAAAAGGTTGAACAAATTTAAAATGCTTGTAATGACAGGATAAGAATTAATTAGATAATGTATTTGATTGTATTGTATCATTACATTTTTGTTGTTTTAATCTATAATATTTGTTTGATAAAAAGATGTATTTAGAAAGAATATGATTTGTTGAAAAATATTCGTTTTCCTTGCTCAATTAGCGGACATGACACCGCATACAGTATTTTAAACACAATACATTTCATACCGTAGTCTCACAATCCACATGTATACATCGTTGCAAATAAGTATTCAAATACTTTCAATAGTATTATTTTTTTATTTTAGAATTATATTTCATTTTTGGAGTGCTATCCCATATTATGTTAGTTCAAAATTCATCCACAACTCTGGTTAGGCCTAAATTTTATAATCTTACCATTCATTAATTCTTGTCTTTGAGCGTAGAGACAATTTTGTCTAGATAATAGAACAGTTTGTCATATTTAATCTATTACAAGAAGATCTTCCAGTATTTTATAGTAGTTTACGCAACGATTGCGTAAGATAATGTTAACGACACGAGTAGAAAATTTAAGGTACGAGCCTTGGCGAGTGCCTTAAAAACTTCTACGAGTGTCGTTAACATTATTTACGCGAGTTGCATACTCTACCTACGACATTGTTTTAATTACTAAAAATCGCTACTCATAACTTCTAAAAGAGGTTATGTTTTCGTTTATAACCTCTCATTACCACTAGTGATGCAACGAAACCTTGTATCAAACACTAATTGCACCAATCAACAATTAAATTGGCCTGAACAGCTGATTAGTTGAATTTCGAATAATTACAATTTTACTCTTAATCCTCTTCTCTTAATCCTTGAACCTCATTGGTCCGTTACCCGTGTTGTTATGAGTAAAACTATGCTGTTATGAAAGTAAACAATGATGTTATGAGATACTTTTCAATTCTAATAACTGTACTGAAACGGCTACTTTAATAAACGGTCATAGGTAATATATATTTTCAAATCGATCTTTGGATCTTCAGTAAACAGGGCAGATACCCTCACCACTTACAACTCCTCTTGGTAATTTTGGTTTGCAAACAAGGGAGAAATCGCGTAAAAGTATTGACGCTTACCTCTCAGATTTCGGAGGGTAGATGGTAGCAGCAACCCTACTAGTCACGGCAGCGAGGCGTGGTTCAACATCAGCTGGGGCTACTAATGGACTACTTCCGACTACTAATATTTGCTGACTTATCAATCATTGGGGCCGTACAACGGTGCTCCTGCCTGGCAGAGTTATTCCGTTATGCATTCAATCATTGGGATATTAGTAGCTTTACGTTTAGATAACTCGCTAGATCAAATTAGTTATTTTCAAGTGGTATGTTCAACAAGTATAAAAACATTTACCATTCAGATTCGCCTATTGGGTCTGATGATGATTGGAGTGTCCAATCAAAATCGATCACCACTTACCATCTTTTGTATATTTACCGTCTTGTGAATAACAGTATAAGCGTAAATATATGTTTTAAGTGTTATAAGACGTATCTTTATTTACTTTCCGTAAATTTAATAACACGTACAATGCTGATCAAGAAGTTATCTATATATTTAATACACAATTGTAACACTGTTTTCTCAGTAATTACTGGACCGATCTACAAGATTTATGTCTCAAATTAAAGGGGATAGTGTGTAGATTTGCCGAACTTCCTTAGAATTTACGTTTTTTCTAAGGGCCTACAGCCCTTTAAAGGTCGAGTCAATAAAATTCTTATTGAAGAATATAATACACAGTTTATAAATTATTCGTCAGCTGTTTAATGTTTGTCAGACATTTGTTATTATTTTTATAACCTCACTTTTAGTATGCAATTATTAAACTTGGAGTTTTTGTTTATAAACACACGATTTTGATCAAGGAATGTGTATTTGTTAACTTATTTTTGAAATGTTTTAGTTTTCCTGCAAAGTGATCTGAAGGAAAGTGGTAATTGAGTTTAAGTTTGAGTATGGAATGTGAAATAATAGCCATAGTAGGGAACGGAAACTTATTGTTTTGATCAATATAATTTATTCTCTACGGCCACCAGAATAATCATGGGAAAATCCGCTTGCAAGTTGTACATATAATTGCTAATGAGTGGGAAAGGTGACGAATCTTACTCAAGATCAGTGTTAGACGTTCAGTGGTAGGCCTACCAAACTTTACCTTCTCGAGATGGCGAGTACGCTGGGATACGTGGAACTACAATACATCAGTGAACTTTTTTTCGAGTACACAGGGAAGTTGATTGAGAAACTGTGACTTACCATTCGGTTCTGGCGAAGAAGTATGTGACTTGATGTTTAATGGCAATGTTGACTCGGGTCATTATAGCGTTATAAAACTTTATCATTAACCCCAGGGTGTGAAAAGTACAAAAAGAAAAAGAAAAGGTAATCATTAACCGGGCGTAAAGAGACATACCGAATGAAAAAAATGTAGAGAACCATCGAAATAAAAAGGTAAAGAGCAGTGTTGGTGTTAAATGTGCACTGGAAGTCCCTAAAAAAAATATCTTTTGAATTGGGGTCGTTAGATTGGATTTGTCACTACAGTACTTCAAATCTATGAATTTCGAGTCAGAACAGACTAACTGGGACACAAAAATGTTTTAGTTTTCCTGCAAAGTGATCTGAAGGAAAGTGGTAAGTTTAAGTTTGAGTATGGAATGTGAAATAATACCCATAGTAGGGGACGGAAACTTATTGTTTTGGTCAATATAATTTATTCTCTATAGCCACCAGAACAATCATAGGGAAATCCGCTTGCAAGTTGTACAGATAATTGCTAATGATTGGTAAACATACAAACATTTTATCGTAAGTGATTAATCTTACTCATGATCAGTGTTCGACGTCCAAATTTTACCTTCTCGAGATGGCGAGTACGCTGGGATATTTGGAACTACAATTTATCAGTGAACTATACCCTAACTATATTTTTTCGAGTAGGCCTACACAGGGA